AAAAATACAAAATAAATTATATTAATTAAATTATTTAGTACTTTAGTATTTATAAACTATTATACTTTTTATTATTATTTTAAATTATTAAAAAATATTTTTTATATTTCAGTGTTCATTTTAATTTTAGTTTAATTTTAGTAATTATGTGCTGTTGTCATTTTTATTGGTTTTTGGTGTAATTTTTAGGTTTATTTTAGGTTATTTGGGATTCATTTATTTTTATTTCACTTTGTTTTAATTGAGCTTTATTTTTTATTAATAATTTTAGTGCTTCAACAAACTTATTTCAGTTATTTTACATTCATTTTCATTTAGTACGTTTTTCATCTAATATTTAGGTTTATTTTAGTTTGTTTATTATTTATTTGACTTTTAGTTTGTTTTTATTTATTTCCAGTTAGTCATTTTTGTGCTTCAACTTAAACCAAATAAAATTATTTCAGTTAGTTGCCAAGGCAAAATTTCTAATTTAAGTTTTTCATCTAATATTAAGGTTTATTTCTAATATTTAAGGGTAATTTTTTTAAAATTTAAATTAAAATAAATCTTTTTTTTTATTCAGTTTTAGTTTTTATTGATTTTCCAAGGTTGTTTTTTTTTTTTCATCTGATATTAAGGTTTATTTTAGTTTTTTTACTACTTTGTTTTAATTCAGTTTATCAGTATTTATTTTCCAGTTAGTTTAAAAATTATTTTACTTAGTTGCATTTCTAATTTTCAGCTTTATTTCAATGAACAAAAATCTTTTTAGTTAATGATAATAATTTAGTTTAATTTTCATTTAGTAAGTTTTTCATGTAATATTTAGGTTTATTTCTAATATTTAAGGGTTATTTTTATTTTTATTTTTAATTTGTTTTAATTCAGTTTTAGTTTTTATTGATTTTCCAGTTAGTAAAAAGGTTACTAAAAGGTTATTTCATGTCAAGGCAACATTTAAAAAAAAAAAAAAAATTCATCTGATATTAAGGTTTATTTTCGTTTTTTTTTTTTTCGTTTTTTTTTTACTTGGTTTTAATTCAGTTTATTAGTATTTATTTTCCAGTTAGTAAAAAAAATATTTTCCATTTTTTTTTTTTTTTTCAAATTTTCAGCTTTATTTCAATGAACAAAACATCTTTTTAGTTAATGATAATAATTTAGTTTAATTTTAATTTAGTAAGTTTTTCATGTAATATTTAGGTTTATTTCTAATATTTAAGGGTTATTTTTATTTATTTTTTTACTTTGTTTTAATTCAGTTTTAGTTTTTATTGATTTTCCAGTTGTTTTTTTTTTAATTAATTAATTAATTTATTTATTTTTTCATCTGATATTAAGGTTTATTTTAGTTTTTTTTTTTTTTTACCTCGTTTTAAGTCCGTTTATTAGTAGTTATTTTCCAGTTAGTAAAAATAAAAAATGTTTTACAATTTATTTATTTATTTATTTTTTTTCAAATTTTCAGCAAATTTTCAACAAATTTTAACCTGGTTTAAACATTGTGTTGTTTTTCCAGGTCTGTCTAATTAATTGAGTTTTACAGTTTTATCTTTACCAAATTCTGTTTTCCATTATTTTCTGGATTCCATTTGAATGGTTCCATTAAATTTAAATAATCAAAAGCTTTCCAGTTAGTAAAAAAAATATTTTACATTTTTTTTTTTTTTTTCAAATTTTCAGCTTTATTTCAATGAACAAAACATCTTTTTAGTTAATGATAATAATTTAGTTTAATTTTAATTTAGTAAGTTTTTCATGTAATATTTAGGTTTATTTCTAATATTTAAGGGTTATTTTTATTTATTTTTTTACTTTGTTTTAATTCAGTTTTAGTTTTTATTGATTTTCCAGTTGTTTTTTTTTTAATTAATTAATTAATTTATTTATTTTTTCATCTGATATTAAGGTTTATTTTAGTTTTTTTTTTTTTTTACCTCGTTTTAAGTCCGTTTATTAGTAGTTATTTTCCAGTTAGTAAAAATAAAAAATGTTTTACAATTTATTTATTTATTTATTTTTTTTCAAATTTTCAGCAAATTTTCAACAAATTTTAACCTGGTTTAAACATTGTGTTGTTTTTCCAGGTCTATGTTCTTGATTTACGGAAATAGCTCTCGGTGAATCCGGACGCAGGATCGTGCAGCTAAAGCCTTTAGCGCATCTCAGCGGCTGCCGGTTGTGACTGAACTCGTTTCTTCCGGTCGACTGAGACCCGCGGCTTCACCGGGAACAGAATCCAAATGTTGAAAACCAAACTAGAGGAAACGTCCACTAGAGATGGTCAGAGACGTGCTGTTGAGCAGCACATGAAGTGGACAGGTGTATATCCTCCCCACTTGATGTACATTTAATGAATGTAAAGATGTAAATGAGACCGTAACACACAGATTTTACAAACTGTGTTTATATGTTTATAAACGAATCTTTTTCCTAAAGTCTTTGCTACATTTATGTTATTTTTTTCTGATTTTGTGCATGTCATGCCTGCTGGATCGGCGGGAAACTCGAATCATGAGGATAAGGGCCTCAAAATATCGTATCGTAAGTGGGAAACGAGCGTTTTGGGCCGTGTTTCAGTTCTCAGCGTCACACTCGAGTCCTAATCAGGTGTGATTTGATAAAACGACAAGTAATAAAAGCGCTCTCCTCCACGCAAATCTGAATTTTTGTCTTATTTTGTTGATCACTTTTATGTGGCGTTGCACTGGGAAGCCCCGCCCACCTTGAAATCTCATTGGTCCAAAATCCTAATTTGCATTAAACATTCGATTTCAATGTGGACAGGCTAACTCGAATATATGGAGCCACAAACATGACATGCGGACAAAAATATATTTGTCGAGGCAATGGATTAAGAATTTGTTCCCTCGTTTTATTTAAATAATTTCCACGATTGATTATTCGTTCCCTCATGTTAGTTAAATTGTTGTAGTAAAATAATTTCCCTGAATTAAGATTTTGTTCCCTCGTTTCAGTAAATCGTGGCCATGTTGTACTAATTTGTTCCTTTGTTTTGATTTAATTAAAACGAGGGAATAAATTATGACGACGTGGACACGATTTACTAAAAGGAAGGGAACGAATTAGTACAACATTTCATGGCCATGATTTACTGAAACGAGGGAACGAATTCATAATTCTTGGCTGCGATTTAATTAAAATGACGGAGCAAATTATTACGACGTGGCCACAATTTAATTCAAACGATGGAAGGAATTTGTACGATGTTTCATGGCTACAATTAACTAAAATGACGGATCAAATTCTAAATTCGTTGCCACAAATTTATTAAAATTATGGAAATAATTAGTTTAACGTTTCATCGCCACGATTTGCTAAATCGAGAGACGAATTCTTAATTCGTTGCCGCAATTTATTTAAAACGAGGGAACGAATTCTAAATTCGTGGCTGCGATTTAAACTGAGAGAACAAATTAGTATGACGTCACCACGATTTACTAAAACGCCGGAAGGAATTCTAAATTCATGGCTAAATTAAAACTAGAGAATAAATTAGTATGACGTGGCCACGATTTATAAAAATGAGTAAACAATTTCTTAATTTGTGGTCATATTTTTATTAAAACGAGGGAACAAATTAATGCAACAATTCTAGGCCATGATTTACTAAAACAAGGGAACGAACTCTAAATTCGTGGCCATTATTTAGTTAAAACGAGGAAGGAATTTGTACGATGTTTCATGGCTACAATTAACTAAAACGACGAATCAAATTCTAAATTCGTTGCCACAAATTTATTAAAATGATGGAAATAATTAGTTTAACGTTTCATCGCCACAATTTGCTAAATCAAGAGACGAATTCTTAATTCGTTGTCGTAATTTATTTAAAATGAGGGAACGAACTCTAAATTTGTGGCCATTATTTAGTTAAAACGAGGGAAGAAATTTGTACGAATTAAGAATTCGTTCCCTCGTTTTCGTAAATGTGGCCACAAATTTATTAAAATGAGAGAACGAATTAGTACGTCAGAGTTTACTAATAAAACGAGAAGAGAAGAAATTAGTACGATGTGGCCACGATTCTTAATGGGTTTTTTTACCCCACATATCATGTGCGGGGCTCCGTAAGCGCATGATCAGTCGCTATTCTATCTTTACGAAGTATTTTGTCCTTCCACGCTGAATGTGAAACTGCTCTGTGACCCGCCAGTCAAATCTTTGGACCAATGAGAATTCAGCGTGGGCGGAGCTTCTCAACACAACATTTTTGTTAACTTAATTGAAAGCTAAAATAAAATAAATAATATATGAAAAATTTAAACTAAACAAAAATGGAAATGTTGCTTTGGCAACTAACTGAAATGAGTTTAAGCTGAAATGCTGAAATTACTAACTGGAAATAATAAAAACTATAACTGAACCTGAAATAAAAATTAATTAAACCTAAAATAGCAAAACAGTAATTTTTAAAAAGAGGAAAAACTAATAAAAATGCTGCTTTAATGCTGCTCAATTTGGCCAAAATTGTGTGATTATATATTAATAGGGCTTTAAAATAATGATAATAATAATAATTTGTTATTATTAAATATGAAAATTTGCACATACAAAAAATTAATTACTATTATATTATTTCCCTGTAAAAAAAAAAAAGTATTATAATTTATAAATAAATTGTAAAAATATTTACAGTACAACTGTAAAATTACACTACTAATATTTATGGTTTCATTTCATTTTCAAACGATTAACCATCGAACTTTTATTTTGACGGAAAACCGCAGGGAAAAAAAAAAAAAAAAAAAAGCAAAAATGAATAAAAAACAAGCGCATGATTACTAAAAATGTTTAAAAAATTACAATAAAAATATTTAAAAATCCATTCAAATTATTAATAAAAACTAATAGTAATATAAAATAATCCTAAGTAACACTGGCTCATTTCTTATGTTAGTTCATGCATTAACTAATGTTAACAAATGATACTTTATTGTGAAGTATTACCAAAATATAATTAAATATGATTGTTTTTTTTTTCATTTAATACAAAAAAGAGCATGAAAACATGCCTTGATTGTGTGATCTACATTTTACTGTATATTACTTCTTGCATGATTCATGATAATAACATTTTGAATCTGCTTTATGATGATGATTTTTGATACAGATGATGAGAGAGGAATTCGGGGCTAAAGAGTCAGAGAAGAAGTGTTTGATCATCCTCAACAACGTCACCAAAAACCACGATAATAAAAATGTTATTTTGAATGTTTTCATTTTAGTTTTAGCTACCAATAATAATAACCCTGGTGTAAACCGTATTAGTTTGTTTCTTTTATCATAATATCACAATGAAGTTGAAAATAAGGGATGGTTTTAAATAGTTTCGCTACTTTTGCTTGAGCTGATATTCATTCTTGTCAAATTATATAAGAAGATCTCAGAGTGACCATCATATAGGACTGATCTGGTATTTATCATTTTATGACATATGCAAATAAAGAAGAGCGTTTATTTAAAATAGAAATATTTTTTAACAATATACACTAGCCTTCAAAAGTTTGTGGTCAGTACATTTGTATTCTTTATTTTTTTTCTTTAAAGAAATTAAAACTTTTATTCAGCAAGGATGTGTTACATTGATAAGAAGTGATAGCAAAGATTTATATTGTTAGAAAATATTTATATTTTGAATAAATGCTGTTCTTTTTAACGTTTTATTCATCAAAGAATCCTGAAAAAAGTATTACAGTTTCCAAAAAATATTTTGATAATTCTAATAATAAATCAGCATATTAGAATGATTTCTGAAGATCATGTGACACTTTATACTGGAGTAATGAT